ATAGAATCCAGAAGCTGAGCTGGTAGAAGACTGGGGGTGGGGGGTAGAGGCATAGCATGAGAGGGACGGGGGAGGGACAGATGCTCCATGCAGGACATCAGTCCCTAGATAGGACTGAGAAGCAGGCAGGCACTCAGAGCTGTTGCTCTGGTCTTGGCGTGAGTTTTTACGGTGTCGGCCATGCTTACGCTCAGTGACCTCTCTGCACAGTAGCTGTCGATGGCAAGGGGGCACTGTATGACATTAGACTAGAGGACTGTGCCATTCCCTGCCCCAGCCCCATCCTGACCCTACCACTCCAGTGGCAAATTTATATGAAGAATAGGTCTTTAGCCCCCAGCTAAGCCCAGAGCCACAGTTCCTTTGAGTTCCAACAATCAGCAGTAAAGTCATGTAGAATCATTTACCCCAGGGTCGGGGAGGTACAGCTTCCTTAAGCCAGACTCAGGCAGTCCAGAGGAAAGAGGGCTTAAAGCAGCAGGTATTCCATGGGCTTTGGTATGGCCTCAAAGAGGGTTAGAAGAAGGAGAACTCTTATAGGGTGATACTACATTATCAGGGAGAAAGGGCATTGGAGAGATACCTTCCTGCCCATGGAGTATAGCTGGAAGTGATTTCAGTTTGCTTCTCTGGGTGGAGGGGCCTTCCTGATCGGTTAGACACAGTGACATGAAGAAGGTGTGATGTCCCCAGAGCACAGGCTGCCTTACCCAAGGTGCCACGACCTGTGTCTCTGAGAGCAGGGCGGCTTCCTGCTTGCTGCTTAGGGCCGACTCTGAACCAAGGTGAGGTTTCTAAGAGATCAACAGCTATAAGATGTGGCCTGACCACATTCAGTCATGCCCAGTGATAGGGGTAACGGGGGGATCTTTTCATCCAGGGAATTCAGTGATCTGTGTTTGCTTGTTCAGTGGATACGGTGAGCCCCTCCTGGGGGCCAGGGTCTCTCCTGTGACAGGATGCCAAGGGAATGAGAGTCAGGGTCCCTGACACGGATTCTGTGGAGTTTTTACTTACATTGGCTGAGGGGGTATAGACCAGAAAAAACTTCAGATAAACACACAAGAGACCTTTCTTTGTTTCTTTGTTTCTTTGTTTGTTTGTTTGTTTGTTTGTTTGTTTCTTTCTTTCTTTCTTTCATCTATCTATTTATTTACAAGATACTTTAAAATTAAGATAAGTGTGCTCTGAGGGCTGGGTGCAGGATGATGGTGAGACAATCACTAGGGGAGCCTTCTGAGCTGTGACATTGAGGGGTCAGAGTGAACCAGGCTGAGAACTGGGGGAAGGGCCTGCTCAGCAGAGGCACAGGGTTGCAGAAGCTGGAAAGTACGTAGTATGTTCAGAGATGATAAGGGAGCCCAGTAGGTGGGAAGTGGAGGAAGCAAAACCCAGCTCAGGCAGGGCCTGGGCACAAGGGTCAGATTGGGTCCTTATTCTAAGAGAGTTTTCGGCAGAGAGATGACTGTTTTTTCTATTTTTAAAAGAACAATCTGGCAGCTAATGATATAGACAAAGCTCTAGGTAGCTGTCCTTACCTGGTGATTGTAAGTAGACAAGAAGAGATGTGAAAAGGTCACTGAGTAACTTTTATAGGTTTTAAAGTGAGAGACCGTGGTGGCTTGGACTCAGGTAGACTGAAGCTGGCACCCAGATGGGATTGTCCAACCCACACAGGCACTGAACTGAGAGCTCAAGTAGAGAACCAGGCCTGTGTTTCAGTCACCCTATCTCCCCACCTTCGGCTCAAGCCACTGGCCTGTGCTGTTTGGAAGCTGGATTTTGGAGTCAAACATCACTCATTCTGAAGCCTGCTTTAGCAACTACTAGCTGCCCGTCCTGGGGTTAGTTACTTAGCCCTGTGAGCCTGCGGGACTGCTCTTGACATAAGAGGTAATAGATGTCAGACATGGAGCACCTGGCCTCCCACCTGATCCTGGAAGCCCTTGAACTCAAGCCTTGTCTTCTTTAACATTTTTAGTTGGCTTCTGGTTCCTTCTTTGCTCCTGGGCACACGACTCTATTGATCATGGAAGCTTCCCTTCTGAGCACTCCTTCATTCTCATTTTACACCAGCATTGCCCAGACCAAGGGCCCTGTGCCTGCCTATTATCCCCTCACACACTCAGCCGAGGTTCCACCCTCCCTGAATAAATGCATATGGCCAGGCTGGAACAGAGCATCCTGTCTCACCTCAAACTCTGTGCTCCCTTCCCTCCCACTGCAGATAAATGGGCAGTTAAGCATTGCTTACTCTTGGGCCCAGCTGCAGTAGGATTGGGTCCACATAGTTTATCATGCAGCACACGTAGTGAAAAGAACTCAGTGGTGGTCAGGCCATCTGAGTTGAAGTCCCAACTCTGCCAATAAATCTATGATATCTGACAAGTCACTTGAGTTCTCCATGCTTCCTCTTTCATATCTATTCAGGGTTCAGCCATCTGTTGCCTACTATGTGCCGGCACTGACATTCTAGGATTCTGCATAAGTTCTATTTTAATGTCCCTGGAGGTAGTGTTTCTCTGGGCTCAGATGTGAGTTTTCACAGCACTCTGCATGCAGGGTGCCTGGCACCTTTAAAAATAGGACAGCTGCCACAGATATCGAGGAATAGCATGAGAGGTTCTTGGGAGGCCATTTGCACAGAGATGCTTGGGGAACATTGCGTAAGTCTTGACATCGCTTCCCAGAGGGAGCAGGTATCGTCCTACCATACGTTTGCATCTGAAATACAAGCTAACACCCCTGCTGTGGTAGATGCTGGCAGCTGGCACATGTGGCACCCAAGTGGAGATTCCCAGCAAAGCCTGGCACTGGAAGGATCTAGATGAGTTGAAGACTGTCTGACAGGAGCCAGGCAGGAAGGAGCAATACAGGTGACTGGATCCTGAGGTGCTGATCGACCCTCATCGTGCCTCTTGTCCTATTCTTGACCAGATTTGGGTCCCGTCATAAGATGCCAGGAGGGTTATCCATCTTGGTCTCATGATTATGAAGAATATTCATGTTGGACATTTGATATTGTCTGTGAGGTACAGAGCTACAATCATGGGAATAAAAGAAACAGACATTCATCTCGAAGCTTGTGTCCCATGACTGAGTCCTACTGCTTACAGTACATTACAAATACTGTATTATTGTGGGATGAAGACAATTGTATCCCACTGTATTTGTGTAATAAAGCATCACTTTGTTAAACACAAACATAAAAAATATTCCCCAATTTTCAAAACCTTGTTTTGGCATTTCTTAATTATTTTTAACATAGCTGGAGACTTTAAAATATGTAAGTAAGTAGATAGGCTTTTGATGACCAAATCTCATCTTTATGTGTGTGTGTGTGTGTGTTTTTTTTTTCATTTCATTAGATTCAAACAGTGACCAAGAAAGTCCTGGTGGCACCACAGTCAGAAGAGGAGAGCAATGTCACCAACTCTGTCGTGTCCCTGTTGACCGAGACTGCAACGGAGGCACCCGAGGAAACGAAGGTGGTTATCAAGAAGGGCCTGGAGTTCAAGGACGGCATGAATGTCCTAGGTACGCCACCTGGTCTTCATCTCTCTGGGGGAGGCACCTCTGCCTCTGTGACAGAGGCCAGCTTTTCCTGCATCTCAGCACCTCTGCCTCCCCCGCTCCCCTCTCAAGAAATCAGTCATTCAGCAGTCCTCTAGGTGGAGCAGGAGGCTCTCTCTGGGGAGTGGTTGGAGGGTCACTGAGACTAATAGCTGAGAGCTTAAGGAAGAGGGTGATGGGCAGAAGCAATACCATTAGGGGCCATGACAGCTAGAGGCCAGGTAAGGGAAAAGTGACAGGACTAAATGTTCATTGGGCACATTCCCTTTCTGCGTGATGTTGGCAAGTCATTTTCTCTGACTCTCTATTTCATGAAGAATCAGTTGTGTACTGATTCTTTCATTTCTTAAGGAGTTTTTTTTTTTTTTTTTTTTTGAGCTGCCTTTGTATATCACTTCTGTGCTAGGCCTGGGGGGTGTCCCACCCCAGCTCCCATAGTCTATAAACAAATGCAATGCTATCGGGAGTGGAGAGTGTTGACTTATCAAAAGGAGGTTACTTTGTGTAACTTTCTGGAATTCCAGTAAGCCCTTTCCCCTAGCCTGGGGTCTTAGTATGCCATCTCAGAGGTTCTTTGACTCTGTAGTTAGACAGATGAGGTTTGTGTCCCTTATGGACCACTCACTGGTTATCTGGCTGAGGGCAAGTTGCCCTGCTTCTTGAGCTTCATTTGTAAAGTGGGGATGGGATTGGCATTTTTCTTGTAGATCATTATGAAGATTAAATAAAATTGTGCATAAAGAGCACAATAGTACATGCCATGTGCTTAATTCATGTGAGCTGCAGTCATTGTTAAAGGTGAGTGGACAGCTCCACAGAGACTAGTGACTCCCCATCATGTAGCTAACTCATTTACTCAGCTTACTCCCCACCCACCCCTTGTCTATGCCCCACCATAACCCCCATCCATTATCAGAATGGTGTCCCCAAGACAAGAAAGAGGGACATTTGGCCATAAGCCAGGAAAGATGAGGAATCTGGGTGGAGGAAGTATGCCGATCCATGCAAGCATGGACCATGTCCCAAATGCTGCATGGGACATAATTACACACACACACAGACACACACACACACACATATATATTGCCGATCCATGCAAGCATGGATCATGTCCCAAATGCTGCATGGGACATAATTACACACACACACAGACACACACACACACACAGACATACACACACACACACACACACACATATATATTCATTATATATATTCATATATATATCCATTATTTATCTGAAGTTCAAATTTTAACTGGGTATCCTGTTTGTTTGTTTGAAGTTGGATAACCTTACTCCTTACTCATCCAAAATGGTCAAAAGAAAGAGGTAGATGGGCAGGATTGCCCAGCTACTGAAAAGCAGAAGCTTCAGTAAGGGATCTTTTTTTATTTTTATTTTTATTTTTACTTTTTGGCGTGACAGGAAGCAGCTTGGGTAGGTGAGAGCAAGGGTGGAGATAAGCTGACTAGGTTGCCAGGCAAGGGAAGATCAATAAACAGTGTTGACAATCAGTGTGTGAGAGGAAGTAGGAGAGAGGAGACAATGGGAGAGTTCCTCTGAGGGGGAGAGTTTGCAAATATCCTCGGCATCCACCCACGAATAGCTCTTGTCTCTCATTGTCCAGATATCTGGGACCCCTTCAAGGCCTTCCCAACTCCCCTTGGTTTCCCAAACCCTGGGGTCAAAGTGGCTCCTCTGTCTTCTCTATACTCTGGAGGAGGTTGAAGCCTCCAGTAATGAGGCCAAAGCTTTGAAGTGAATCATTCAGAAGACTTTCAGATTCTTGGTGGATTCTGGGAAGTCACGTGACCTTTGACTGTACCAGGGAGTTTCAACACAACTCACTGCTCTCTCAACCCCAATGACCAAGTCTAAGAGGGCTCTGTTCCAATGAAACACCATTGTTCCAGTGGGTGAGTTCAATGAGGCAGTGTTTACAGATGGCAATGACAAGCTAGACCTCAGTTTCCAAGTGCAGTCTGAGGCTCTGGAAAGCCAAGGGAAGTTAGACTGTTGAGAAACTTTCCATTTAGAAATCACAGCTGAAATAAGGTTCTTTCCATGGCCTTCCAAATGCAGAGATGGTGGCTTTCTTTGTTTTTTGTTGTTTTGGCTTTGGAAAGTCCCAATAAATAGAGATAAAATCCTGGCTCTGGTCTCCCACTTCTTTAAAGATTCATTTCTCTCCCAGAAAAACTCCAGAGTACTTCTGGGCTTCACTGTAATCCCAGCCACTTAAATCAACTCCTGTGAGAGATTGTTCCTTTAAACATCCCTCTCTCGTACTCACAGATATAGTCAGTGTCTGCTGACCCTGCGAGGGCCACTTTTTTTTTCCAGTTTTTTTGGACCTTGACAACTTGCTATTTTCTCTTAAAATCTCCAAATGGAATTAGCCAAGTAACACTAGCTCTTCTCAGCCAGAATATTCAGATTATTTCTCACCACACACGTCGCAAACTTCTCTCCATGGCCTGGAGAGAAGGGCTTGGGAATAGTCTGGATTTGATTTCATACATTGCTGCAGAACTAGACCTCTCTTTCCCGGATCTGATTCTCACTAAGCCTTTGTCTTCATGGCCAATAAATCCCTCGTAAGTCACTCGTCAATCTTTCTGGCAAAGAGCTGAAAAAGAGAAATAGTAAATGTTGAGGATGAATAACCCCAAGTGCAAGTGCTGGATCCTTTTTGCTGAAGAGAAAGGGCCCAGTGATGGGCAGTTGTACAATCTGGGTTGATATGTGCTTGGGGTGGGGAGATGAGTGGTTCTGGTGACTAGGGAAAAGGTAAAATCAGAGGTTCAGAGAGGAAGAATTCTACTCTAAGAGAAGCAGATTATAAGGCTATCATTTACCTGATAGAGCTCAAGATTCCAGGTATTAACTGGACACAGGAAACTGGACATCAGAGAGAAGGACTGGAAATTAGGCCTGCCTAACTGGAACAGGGTAGGGGTGGGGAAGAGGAGAGAGAGAAGGGGAAGAGAAGCTGGCCCATACTGCAGTTCAGAGAAAGAGTCAGATGGGCAGCAAGGTCCTGTAGCCAAGGAGACAGTGACATTGATCTATAGTCATCAGAATTAGAGCTCCGAGATTGGCAGAAATGGGCCCAGAATGTGTGTGTGGGGCACATGGTGCCTGGCGTTCAGAAGTTCAGACAACCCCCAGACAGTAATGTGGACATCTGTTACCCAGGAAGTACTCCCAGTTCTCGGGGTATGTCTGGGTAAGACTCCAGGCTGGGCAGGGGGCTGGTGAGGAGAGAAAAGCCAGGCATTGGAGGAACTCAAGTATAAGGTAAGATCCCAGGACTACAAACTCAGGTGCAGGGAATGAATGAGGCAAAAGCCAACACAGAAATAGCACCCAAGGTTGAGTGTTGGAGTTGGTTTAGAACCTAGTGCAATTGGATGCTGACGGCAAGAGGTAGGAACAGACCTCCTCACATCCTTCTGGCCTGGGGTTTGGATTGACCCTGGAGGCTGAGGTGATGCTGGACTTAGATGGAAGCCAAACGATGGCAAGTGAAGGGAGGACGGAGCTGAGGGGCTGTGAAATAACAGTCTATGTTCTATCTTTAAGATCCTGATAAAAAAAATACAATTATAAAAATGCATTCTAAGCATTTTGACCATGAAAAGAATTATGACGCATTAATAAATAACAGGTTAAACCAAAACAAACTGGGTCAGTTGGGGTTTCCCAACTGTTTTGGATTTCTCTTGGCTTTCCATGTGATTTCTCTGCATTCCTCTTCCTTTTCACATTAGACATGTAGCCACAGAAAAATAATTTTACATTTAGAATTTTCCTAGAGCAAAACATACCAGCCATGCATTAATTTAGTATAACACCAAACCAATGGAGTCATAACCCTGGCAGAGACTTTAATGGCTAATTGGTCTCTGCTATGTTAATATTGGCTCCAAAGTTTGCATGCTAATTCTCAAGTTCCAACAAGCCTTTCTTTATTAAACTATGTACTTATAAAATCTGCTTACACATGATTTCATAAGTGAGGAGGCAAGAGAAGAGAGTACTTTTTAATTTGGAATCAAAATGAATTTACTTTCTTCAAGGACTTCACACTGCTGACAGTTCAACTTGCTCAGGTGAAAAGTGTTAAGGAAAGCCATAATGACCCGGGGGAAAGGTATTTTCAGTGTGACATCTAATGCCTTTGCCTTTTAATGCCTAATTCATAGGGTAACAGGCAGCAAGTATGTGGCTCCATACATTGGGAATGGTAAAGAACAAGGGAGAAGAAAGACGTACTTTGTAATTTGTCCTTCTGTGTAATGTCGTTCATCCAATAGGTCTGATAGGGTTTTTCATTGCTTTTGGCATCGCCATGGGAAAGATGGGAGAGCAGGCCAAGCTGATGGTGGAATTCTTCAACATTTTGAATGAGATTGTGATGAAGTTAGTGATCATGATCATGTGGTAAGTGGGCTTGTTCTTACTTCATCATGGTGGGGGTGTGAGAAGGTCCTGGGGTCTCCAGAAAATACTGGAGATCTCCTAGCAGGAAAGAGCAGGTGGGCATGGACCAAGCAAAAGGCTCTCTGGAAAGACTTTGAGAAAGGGATGAAAATCTTCTTGGAGCTTCCTCTAGAAAATGGGTCAGAAAACTATGGCTTATAGGCCAAATCCTGTCTGCCATTTGTTTTATATAGTTTGTGAGTTAAGAATGGGTTTTGTGTATTTATTTTACTGAAAAAAAAAAATTAAAGGAGTAATAATTTCCATAACACATGGAAATTGTATGAATCATATTCAGCCCATAAATAAAGTTTTATTTAAACATAGCCACACCTATTTGTTCATGTATTGTGTAGGGTTGCTTTTGTGCTAAACAGCGGAGTTGAGTGTTTCTGACCAAGACTGTGTGCCTGCAAAACAGTAAAATATTTACTGTTTTGCCCTGTACATAAAGAGTTTGCTGATCCCTACCCTGGGAGAAAAAACAAATAAACAAACAAAAAAGAGGGAGACAAGTTAGAAAAACCAATCAGTACTATTGAAGCTGAGCAGCATCAGGAAACACTGAGATAAGCCCAAGACACCAGGGAGATGGCACACCCCAGGACATGTGGAAGAAGCACTGCTTCTATATTCTGGTGTCCAAAAGCAATGTATCTTTGACCTGGGTTACTCATGACTCATATAGAAGTAAAAGAAGGCAGTCCTCAGACCATGCAAGCAAAAGTGAAATCTCAGAGGGTATATTAGAACTCTAAGTGCTCTTGAGAATCTGGCCCCACCTCTAGTTTTACAGAAGAGAAAACTGTGGTCTAGATACACTAAATCGTGATTCTTTAACATCATGGCGATCATTATAATAAAAACTGTCATTTATTGTTTTTCTTTATCTGCCAAGAACCATGATTGGTGCTTGATACCTATCAAATATAATTCTAACAACCCTGCAAAGAGGGAGTATTATTCCCATCTTGCAGAAAAGGCAACAGAGGCTCACTGAGGTGGATTAACTTGCCTAAGATTCTATAGCTAGGAAGAGGAAGAGATGGAGTTCATTTGATAACAAAATCCTGATGTATAAGTGGATGGAATTGGTTTGTTTGTTTGAATCGTCTAATCTAAGCGACATTGTCTCCACTTCATTTCATGTGTGTTTATGATCAGTGGTTCTAAAATCTTGAGTTGTCCAGGACATCATGAGTGTCCACTCCTTCATCAAGGAAGCTGTGCCACCTTCAGTCATTGGGCCACCCTCAGTCACTGAAATCTTCTAGTGTCCTGTATCTGACAGAAAAATTTTTACATGCATTTGTTTCAGACCCTTAATGATGGTCCTGTATATGCCTGCCTAGAAAAAAAAAAAATTAGATCAAACCACATCTTTGTTCTATTAACTACAGGAATTCTGGGTTACAAATTCCTTATCTCTGCATTTCCCAGTCCTACTTGCCTTCTTCCCCAAACCCGCTCTGATCCTCTTCCATTTCCAAGTGATGCCTCCCACTGAAATTCTACCTTCTTTCTCTTCTCTTCTTTTCCTTGGCCTCTACTCCCTCCATATAAGGGCAAAAATCTGTTCTTGGCTTATTTTTTATCTCCACCAAACTGAACATGGAGATGTGCCTATAGTAAATTCTTACTAAAACTTCAGGAATGAGCGGGTACCCCGAATGCTTCAGAGTGTCAGATCAAGAAGATGTTTCTCATGAGTTCATGAATCATATTTAATAGACCTGGCTTGTTCGGATTATTGCTTTATTGTACTTCTAAAATATGGAAAGGACATTAGTAAAATAATGTGTTCTTTTTGATTATTGTGCTGATTCTTCAACTTTTAGTCGTTGCTAGGTTTCTGAATATTTCTTTTGTGTGGAAATTTAAAATCACACACAATGTAATTCTATAAAAAAATTTTTAAAGTCTTTTAGATCCATTCTGAGCTTGCTGAGAGTTTAAAAAAAATGAAAATACACAAAGGAGAATAGGCCTCTTGTTTCCTAGGATTTCTAGCAGAGTGAGCATCATTGCAGTTCATATTTCTATATTATGATGCCTACAACGTGGGCAAATATGTGAAAGCTTCTTTCTTCATCTGTACCAACGTCATTTCCACCTAGTCCTTGAAAGAAAGGGAATCTTCGAGGAAATCAGATGAGTCATGGGATAAAATTGCGCCTTTCTTCTCCCCAGGGATGGAGGGTGGTGTGGATCAGGAAGTTTTCTATTCACTGAAATCAAAACTCCTAAAGATTTAGCATCATATCCCAGGAGATGAAGAGCAATTGTGAGTCAGGACTCAGACCTATGGAATGATTTCTGCGATCTATTCAGTTGCCTCATCGAGGCGAGCAGTCAGGAGGGTGTTACACATCATGAGATGCCAGTTCTACACATTTCTTATGTTCTTTAGCTGCCTCGTCAGCATTTGATAATACTGTGTGAGAAGGTTCTGTATTATAAAGCGAACCACTCTTTAAATGACCCCCTCAAAGCTTAAAGAATCAGAATTCTTGAGTATTCTTCTCTATGTTGTCGTAAGAGTAGTATTAATAGCAAAGTATAGCATTGAAGAGATTGCTATTATTCTAATAATTATTATTATTAAATTACCACTTAGAGTCATTAAATTCTTGCTATATGCATAGTGCTATTTTGATTATTATACTGTACCTATTTACTACTGAGAAGATAATGATTATTATAATCATTAAGTCATAACTAAGACTTACCAAATTCCTGCAATATGCTTAATACTCTTCCAATTACTTTACATGCATTAACTCATTTATTTTTTACAATCATACCTAGCAAAAATAGCTACTTGTGTTAGCCCCATTTTCCAGATGATACAAATGAGCATAGAGGTTAACTTGCCCAGTGTTGCATAGCCTAAGTAACGGGAGTTACGTGAAAGTGTACCTAACTGACTTTAGGCTGGATTGAATCCAAGATCCTCCTATAACTAGCTGTGTGACTTTAGGCAAGTTAGAAACTCTATAAACTCCACACCTGGATCTGTACACCTGGACTGGTCACAGAATGCACATCACAGAATTGCCCTGAGAAGTAAGTGAAATTGTGACCAACAATTGTGGGGCATTTCCTATGTGCTGGGACCTCTCTAAATACTTTATATGAACTAGCATTATTATTGTTGCTCTATTGTGATTACTATTACTGATCATCAATTCAATTCATATCCTTTGTTTCTCTGTGTTCATAAATTCTTTAAGAAGCCTACAAGGCCCTCTGACTTGAAAAAAAGAGAGAGAAACGCTTAATTTCAGTGTGATTTTCCTACCCTCGTTTTCTGCAAAGTTCTTTAAAATGTTTTGTATTCTTAAAAACTTAAACAGAAAGTGACTTTTTTTTATAATCTCATCACTATTGAAACACGAAGTGAGAAGTGAAATCTCTGCTCACTCTTTCAATTCTCCCTGCCAGTTAAATTACCACGACCACCTTCTTTCCTTCCTTCCCATCAGGCCATCTGCCCATCAATCCATCCATCTGTTCATCCGTTCTTTGACTCCACAAATATGTTTTTGAGCACCTCTTCAATGCCAGTAATAATTTTAGGCACTGGTGATATGATGATGAATAAGACAGAGAAGGATTCCTGCCCACATGGAGCTTACATTCTATTGAAAGGAGAAAGGGAAAAACTAAAAGGAAGCGAATAAGAATTCAGATAGTAATCACTGCTACAAAGTCAGTAAACAGGGAAGTGGAGTGGCTGGAGTGCAGTTGGTTGGTAAGTGGGGGTGGAAAGTGGTGAAGCTGGAGAGGTGGCCAAGTGGCATATCCCACAGGGCCCTGTAGGCCACCATGAAGAGTTGGGGTTTTATTTAATGGCAAAAAGAAGTCCCTGAAAGGTTATCAGCTTGGAGGATCTATGAACTGATTTTTATTCTATCCTGATGAAAAGTTCTAATCCACATGTGGTAAGTCTCAGGGAGCAAAAGTCACTCCTTGGACAGGCAGAACGCCTCTTCCTAAATGGATTGGGCAAAATGGGGATTTGTGTTCCTTCCTGAGACTGAGTACAGACAGCACCTTAATGTAATTGGAAGGTATCTTTAACTCTTTATTGACAGACTCTTACGATTCTGAGTTCTCTCGGGATCCATCACAAACTGGCAGAAGCGTTGCTCCTGGAAATGTGTGGGACCGAATCAGAGTAGCTTTATGGCCGGACTGAAAAAGTCCTTCTATTTATCTCCACTCCAACTGTCTGGCCCACCATCTGCCCTGTGCCTCAAAGTCCTGAATTAGTTACCTTAGTGGGTTGATACCTAAGGCCTTGAATAAATTGTAACTAAAGTAAATGGTTTCCAAAAACTAACCAAGTAATATCTGCATTTCATCAGATGCGGGTCAGATTTTATTCCTTGGAACATTGGTTTCCAAGCACATCAGAATTACCTGGGCAATTTATTTAAAATATTAATTCCCCAAGGCCAGCTACAGGAAATTCTAACTCAACAGGTGTGTGGTGGGCCCAGGGACTCTATAGCGTTACCAGACAGGCCACATGATTCTGAAGTAGGTGTCTGAATGCACAGAGACACCGACTGAGTTCTGGGTATGTTAAGTGTATGAATTTGTATTTGTGGAGCAGAGCTAAGAAAGGCATCTTGGTGAGAACCTTAGGATGACAAGGACTGAGGTACAGAGTGGGCAGAGGCAAGAATAGATGATGCAACACAGGCCAGTCTTGGATGAATCAGTGGCTTTGAAAAAGGTGCACATTGCTGAGAACACAACCAGTCTAAAGGCAATGTGGAAGCCATTCCCTCCCCTTAGTTCTATATTTGTGTCCTTCTAATTTAAAAACTGGTCCAACAATTACTGGGCACCATTTGGCTTCAGAACACTTGAGCCCTCTACCTCTTTATGTAGTTTGGATTATGGCTGTGATTGTTTGCTTCAGCGCAGAAGCTTTGAGTGGTGGCCTTGGACCCTGAGCATTTGCCCTTTCTTTTCCATGGAGTATCATTTTCAATGAGACAATTAATATGGAAATGCAAGAGTGAAAACTTAAGCTATTTGTTTTGAAAACAAGTACAGGGAAGTAATGGCCCTAAAAGACAGCATAGAACAAATACTCTTTCCTTGTCCTAATTAATCCTCATTCTAGTTCCTGAGACAAAAGGTTTGGGTTAAGTAACTAGAGCCCTTGCTTACCATATTTATTTCCCCTATCTCTCTACCTTCTGGCCTTTGACTAACACTCTCCATTTATAGTGAGAATTCTAGTTTCTCCCAGCAAGCTGAGTGCTCCAGGTATCCTGTTACCTTTCTCTTATCCATTTGGCCCTGGTTCAAATGTGTTCTCCAGGGCACTCTGTAGCTGGTCTTGCTTGGCAAAGAACCTTGAAAATGTTTTCTCTCCATTCTACAACGTGCCTGTCCCAAAAGAGCAGGAAAGTTGGATGGCACCCAAATTGGATCATATTTGTGTTTTTCTGGACATCTTTAAAGGGTGATTGGTGCTCTGGAAAGAATCTCTCAGTTTATGAAGACAAATGCTTGTTGGCTTTATCAGAAGGTGCACTCTGCTCAGTTATTTATAATCCCGGGGAACAAAGAGCTGGCCCCCGAGACTACCCCACTGATCTACAAGATGTTGTGACTACAGGCACACCGGGAGAATGTAAATGGCGGGAAAGCCAAGGGTTTAATGGCATGACTCCCTAAAGCCTGCAGAAGCAGACCTGAAACTGCCAACCTTCATCCCAAGGGAAGGAGAAGTGCAGGTTACAGGCTAGAATGCTCGGCAAGGATGAGAACAGCTAAGCTAACATTTTAACTAATTAGTATTAATTACAAATCACCTCTTTCAGGAGAAGTTTCCTCTTGAGGAAATATTTTGCTCATCAAAACATCCACAATTGGGTAGCAGTAGCCTGTGAGGTGTTTTAGAAAGTCTCATTAACTCAGACTTGACTCCTTAAGTGTGGGTGATAGAGGACATGGGGTATATGTATGAAAACAGAACATACAGGTTCCTTCGTCAGGAGTCAGAGAAGTAATGGTGCTGACAGGGATGCGGGTAGGGTTGTTGACAGCGCACATACGTGCATGTCAAAAAGTGTAGTCCTCCCAGCAACGCTGCGAGGTTGGAGGTGGCCTTTCACCCCTCGACTGGCACACCTGTAAAATGGGAGTAAGTCACTAACCAAGGTTCCACAGCAGGTAAGTGTCTTATGTGGTTGTGTATAAGACTCTCATATATTCCTCACAGTTCTTTCTTATCCTGGGAAGGGGTTGTGCCAGGTACAAATGCAAAAATAAAATACGACATCTGGCATAGCTGCCCTCGCCCTTTCCTGACTCCCTTACTCCAGTTGGGAGCCTTATCCCAGGATTTCATTTTCCCCACAGTCTTTCTCTCAGCTATGTTCAGAATTCTTAATAAGGTCTCAAGCTTCCCACAGACATTTTCGTTTCAGTCAGAAGGTGTTGCAGGCTGAACAGGGTCATGCTCCAACAACACTAGATTGGGCAATAAAAAACGGATGTTACCAAACGTGAAAAATACACTTAAGAAAGAACATGGTTAGTTTACTCAATCAAGAGTGAGGACAACAGTAAATTGTTTCCAAGCTCTCTATAAAATAATGATAATATAGAAATATAAAATAAGTTTACATAGGATAAATTGGCATATAGTAAATTGTCTGCTTACCTACAAAGAGCTACAATGGCTAATTAAAGGGAAGTGGTTTGGCTGGGTAGGGGAAAAAAACCCAGTCTCAGAGTTTCACAGATCTGAGATTGTTCTCCTGTTACTGCTTTCGTGGTCTTGGGCCAACTATTTTACTTTTCCCAATCTCAATTTCCTCATTTGCCAAATAGGAATAATGATACCTATCTAGAGTTTAAGATTGGAGTAAGAATTAAATGAGGTGACATGTGGGTAGAGCCAGCATTATTGTTAGAATAAGTATGGAAAAAATACTTCCAGACTTAGAAGTGATAAAACCACATTTCTCTAAATGTTCCCTTTGACTCGAGATGGTTTTCTTATTTTGTTTCTCTCTCTCTCTCACGCTCGCGCGCGCTCTCTCTCTCTCTCTCTCTCTCTCAATGTATATGTATATATATTTCCTATCTTCCGAGGCAAAAACAAAGCAAATTTACAAACACCAGTTTATAGCTTGGTGAAACTCTAATGAGCCTTCTGAGAAGCTCAGACTTTTTCCCCAATGTTTAAAGAAGGAGCTGTGGAAAGGCAAATCAAATAAGATTCTCAAGATATAACCAACTTTTAACTTGATGCTTACGAAGAGGTGGTAAAGCTTGTCTCTGCTATTTCTAAAAAACACCCGAACGACTAAGTTTGCCTTTGGATTTTTCATCAGAGCAGGGGACAGCATGTCCATGGAACAGATTTCAGATAATGCAGTTAGACTGAAGTAAAATGCAGCATCTACTGAGCCCCATGGTCCTCTTTCATCAACTCTGTACG